ATATATATATATATATATATATATAAAATTTAATGCCATGCTTCTTGTACAAAGAAGAGACCCACTGAGACCCACTTTATATCGTATATCAATCAGGCAGTCAAGGTTGTTGATTTTTAAAGAAAACACGTCGATAAACAAACGAGTTGATTTTGTAACAGCATGCAGTTTGCCGGAAGCATTTGACCCAGGAAACTGAAAATGAAAAGTCCTTCTGCATACCTCTGTATGTTCTCCATATAAACTATATACCCTATAAACTGAACAGGGGAAATAATTCACTTGCTGATAAAACTCTATAAAATAAAATATAATAAGATAAAAAAAATAATAATAATAATTCAGTAAGCTCATTCAAAAATATAAGCAACCTTAAACCTTTGAATGGTCATTATTTACTGTAACTCCAAGTGTTTCCAATATTCTGTAATAAGCAGTGTGTGTCCTTCAAGCAGAGCCAACAAAAAAGATGTCTGTGAATGCGCTGCCAGAACAAAAAGACACATTATCAATCTTAAAGCTTATAAAACTAAATAAAACCCAAAACAACCTCACTTCTCACTGATCAATAGGCAGATAAATATGACAAACGTCCAGTCATAAGCCGTATCTCCACACGGCCTCCAGCTGGAGCTTCAGTGGAAAAGGCCAGTTTTTCAATAAGCATTAATGAAGGCTGCAATCTATTAGAGATATGGATGGACTGCTGATTCAGGATTGGCACGGCGCACTGCATTGAGGCAGTCTTGGCACAGCAGAGGAGAAACGCATCATAACCAATGCATTAATGAAACCATCCTTGCTTGCTCTCACTAATGGAGCCTATTTTTAGCTGCTTGGACAAGAGAAGCCACTGTTTCATTCCTTTACGTTTTGTGCTCGGCTGCTAATTTTAAAGCAGTATGATGTGGTATATGCTGAGGTTGAGCATATTCTGATTGTAATGTTGGACTGTCCTCAGGGAGGAATTGAGCTCAACTGGCAAATTTGCTTTAAATCATGTGGAGGTGAATGCACTGTAAAAAAAAGAAAAAAAAAAGAAAAGTTCACTCAACAAATTATACAAAAAAAAAAAAAAAAGAAGGTTTTTTGAGTTAACTTAAATCGAGTCAAGTGCAGTCCTTGCATTGAATGTTAAGATAACCCAAAAAAAGTTGCTGTAACTGGAAAAATGAATCTGGGAAAACTTGAAATATTATTTATTAATAATAAATTGTAATTGCTAGAAAAAAAATGTTGCATAAACTAGTAATATTAAGTTACAATAATTTAAAAAAAGTTAAGAAAAACAAAAAAAGTTGTGGTTATTAAAAAACTTAAGTTGAAGTAACTAGAAAAATATTTGTGGTAATTAGAAAACTTAAGTTGGAGTAACAAAAAAATAGCTGAGAAAAAAAAAGTTGTTGCAGTAGATAGTAAAATTAAGTTGTGGGAACTATAAAAATTGAGATGTGAGATCTTAAAAAATTAAGTTGCAGTAGATAGTAAAATAATTTGTGAGAACTATAAAAATTAACATGTGAGGAATATAAAAAAAATTATAATATATATATATATATATATATATATATATATATATATCTTTAAAATAAGCTGCTGTAGATATTAAAACTAAGTTGTGAGAACCCTAAAAAATAATTTGCGATAGAAAGTAAAATTATGTTGCCAGAACTATAAAAATTAAGATGTAAAAACTATAAAAATTAAGTTGTGCTAGACAGTAAAATTAAATTATGAGAGAAATAAAAAATAAGATGTAAGCACTAAAACAATTAGATGCAAAATTAAGTTTTAAGAACTATGAAAACTAAGTTGTGGGAACTATAAAAATTAAGATGCGCTAAATAGTAAAATTAAATTGTGAGAACTAGAAAAAATTCTATGTAAGAACTGAATAAGTTTAAATAAATAATTAAATCAAGTTGTGAGAACTTTAAAATTTAAGATGTGACAACTAACAAAATTAGGTTGAAGTAAATAGTAACATTAAACTGTGAGAACTATAAAAATAAGTTATGAGAACTATAAAAATTAAGTTGCAGTAGATAGTAAAATTAAGTTGTGAGAACTATAAAAAGTAAGATGTAAGAACAAAAACAATCGGTTGCAGTAAACAGTAAGATTACGTAGTGATAACTATAATATATTAAATTATGTTCATATATTAAGTTATGAACATAAATAAAAAATAAGTTGCAGTAGTCAGTAAAATTACGATGTGAGAACTAAAAAATGAAGATGTGAGAACTGTAAAAATTAAGACGTGAGAACTATAAAAATTAAGTTACAGTCGATATTAAAATTAAGTTACAGTCGACATTAAAATTAAGTTACAGTCGACATTAAAATTAAGTTACAGTCGATATTAAAATTAAGTTACAGTCGACATTAAAATTAAGTTACAGTCGACATTAAAATTAAGTTACAGTCGATATTAAAATTAAGTTACAGTCGACATTAAAATTAAGTTACAGTCGACATTAAAATTAAGTTACAGTCGATATTAAAATTAAGTTACAGTCGACATTAAAATTAAGTTACAGTCGACATTAAAATTAAGTTACAGTCGATATTAAAATTAAGTTACAGTCGACATTAAAATTAAGTTGTGAGAACTAAAAATTAAGGAAAATAGAAAATAGAAATAATAAGTTCTCAGAATTAAGTTGTGATAGCTGGAATAAATTAAAGTAACTAGAAAAAAATTAGTTATGAGAACCAAAATAATTAAAGTTAACACTTTACAATGTGGTTGTATTAGTTAACTTTAGTCAATGCATTAGTTGATATGAATTAATGATGAACAACACACCTGTTAAGCATTAATCTTTAGTTAATTAATCTATAATATATGTAAGGGATAATCAATGGCTTTCCATTAGTTAAAAGCATTTAAATGCACGAATCAACGCAAAGGGGAGGATGGTTGACTTCATAAAGCACATTTGTAAGTTGGTAAATCCCCATGTGTCCTCGAGATTACACAGAAAAGAAGGCTGCGGCAACTGTCACCGAGTTGCTATGGTATTACTGATGTTTGAGAGAAATGCATTTATTTCAAACTGTAATCAAAACTGACTGGAACTACCTGTGCATTAAAGGATAGTGTTGGAGTAGTGTACACTTTACAATAAGGTATTACTAATTCTTAAGCAAGCTTGAGCCCAGCTATGCAGAAAACTGTTTCCACACTCCAACACCCGATTAAACGTACATTTTCCAGCGGTAGCAAACTACAGTATGTTTTCACAGCACAATGATGTCTTTTATCTGGACAGATCAAGAGAAACGTTCCTCCACGAACTGCTAGCAGCTCCCACTGAACACCCCCAACGACAACATTGGACTACAACTCAATTCATCTCTCTGTCTTCACCACTATCGTTCATTTACGCTTGCTAATTCCCTCAGGCTTAAGATAATGTGGGCTACGCTCAAGAAGCGGCGTCTGACAGGAATGCTAATGCGGCCTGAGGAGTAACGAGCAAGCTAGCGCGAAGCTGTCGACTGGAAGGCTAACATTAGCGTGTTAACAAGTTAGTGATGAAGTTATGCCTCGTAAAGGTCGATCATGCTGTTTCCTCCGAGGCCGCGGCTGGTCCTGACGTTCTCCAAGGCTAGGGTGAAGTAAATCCCACGCGAGTCCGATATGTACAGGTTGTAGGTGTCGTTCTGGTTCCACTCCTGGACGGCGGTGAAAACCTGACCTTGATCTGTGCTCACGATATGCATGTCCTAGGAAGCCGAAACGAGAAAAGGACAGGAGAGAAGACAGCAAGGGGGAAGAAAGACAGAAAAAGGAGAAGTCATTAGTACAGACCCCTGTGGTTTTCAGCAGCCTTGATCTACAGGATTACATGTTTGCGCAGGGCTTAGATGAACATGTGTTTTAATGTATACCCGAATGACCAGAACAAGCCAGACGGAATTAGATTTTGCCGTGTGGAACATAGGAAATGTGCTTGGATTTGGTAACTAGTTGGTAGCTTTATGTTTGCGTGATCATTCATCCACACCAGTAGGTGTCAGTACTACAACTAATTTATTTATTTTTTGTAGGATTTATGTTTGGCCTTTTACCTTTATTAGATAGGACAGTATTGAGACAGGAAGCAAAGTTGGAGAGAGAGAGGAGGGTAGGGTAGGGAAATGTCCTTGAGTCAGGATTCGAAATCAGGGTGCCCTGACTGGCTACTGCACCATACAGTATGTCAACACATGTAGGCGGATCATAGACATATACACTAGATATCGCATACATCACCCTGAGTATGCGACAATACGGCCGCCACATTTGGACAGTGCTCCTGAGTGGTCTGAGTGTTTCAGAAACTGCTGATCTACTGGGATTTTCACGCACAACCATCTCTAGGGTTTACAGAGAATGGTCTGGACAATTGTCTTATTGATACCAGAGGTCAGAGGAGAATGACCAGACTAGTTATAACTGATAGAAAGGCAACGGTAGCAAAGTAAGGCTACAGCAGCAAAAGACCACACTTGTATAGTAAGGTGTACCTAATATAGTTAATATATTTTACAAATAATATATACACTTATCTTTAAAACAAAATATTTTTGGTTTTATGTATCTGTGAACAAATATATTATGTCAAAACAAACTTTGATTTTATTAAATTTTTTTTTTTTAAATTATTAAATGGCTTTAGTCGAAATATTAGTTTTAAAGAAATTTTTGCACTAGAATAAAATAATTTATTATTTATTTAACAGTTAAAATGTCCCATCTACTTTATTCAGACCTTAATGAGAATGGATAAATCATTTATAATAAACATTGCAGTAGACAAGAAATGTCGGTTTTGATTTAATAGGGACTTAAAGCAGTCTCTTACCTTTGGCAAGGAGTATTTTGGCAGTTTGATGCGTATAAAAGCTTCTCTTTGATAGGACACATAGTAGCTCGCTCTGCCAGTGGTCGTCACCTACAAGAGAAAAAATAACACATATCTAAGATATCAAATAAACTGGCATCAGCACTGGGAGATCCACTGGCTGGAACTATTGATTTGTGTTTGTACTTTGAACAAAAGTTTAGAAGTGGGTGGTATGACCAAACTCTTATATCATTGTATGAATAATTTTATGTAAAGATAATGTTGCGCTGGCTTTGTTAAAGTCAGTATGAAGCAGAAGTGACTATGGACTGCAGTGTTGTGATATATTTCTAGCTGAAACAGAAAAGGAGCACAAACAGAAAAGTGTCACACCGTCAAACTGATGTGATAGGACTTTAAGATCAGCATTACAAAAATTGATTGATGGATTGGTTGATTGAAAATAATTACCACAACAAAATTTATTTCAATTGTACAACATTGTTTTAAGGACCAAATCAAAGTCATATTAGAATAATTTCTGAAGAATTATGTGACATTAAAGACTGAAGTTACTATGCTGAAAATCACATAAATAATTTACTATTTAAAATAACAATTTGTATTTTCAATAAAATAACAAAATATATAATTTAAAAATAATTTTAAAAACTAAATAAAATAAGTACAGCCTTTATGCAAACAAATAAAACATCTAACTGACTCCAAGCATTTAATTGGCTGGGTAAACATGAAAAAAGGCCGCCTCGATTGTTATTACTCGGTTGAATGGGCGTTATCAGTGATCTATCAGCTGATAGATATGGGCCAGTAGGGGCCTATTTTTATCCACACACATGGTTAATTAGCTATAGATCACATACAGCTGCAGCCGAAAGTTAATGATAATTATTTATGTTATTTATTAAATTTCCTATTAATTGTATTTTTTATTAATGTCTACCCCTACCCCAAACCTAAACTCAACCGTCACATTAATGTAAAAACAGATCTGGATCTGGAGTCTTCTCTATTAGTATACAGTAGCTGATATGTAACCATGTGGATAGATGATAACAGTCTTCTGAGCCTTACAGTAGGTGCAGGAGGCCCCTACTAGCCCTTATCTGTCAGCTAATAACCACTGATAAAGCCCATTCGATCAAATGACAACATTCAAAGCGGTTGAACAATCAAAATATGTCTACTCATAATGACAATTTAACATATATATGAATTTTTTTACGTTTTACTAAACATTTTGTAGTCTGAATTTTGTTTATGGAGATTAAAACAAAGACAAAATCTTACTAACTCAAAACATTTAAATGGTAGTGTAAATATGAAAACATATGACATGAAAACATACATAAAAATTCTACTAATACATCATTAATTTTACAAATACGTCACATCATTATAAACGTCTTGTGGTGGAGGATGAGGGAGCTCTCAAATTTCATCTAAATTATCTCAATTTGTGTTCTGAAGATGAGCAATGTTCTCAGGTCATCAGAACAACATGAGAAAGACTGATTAAAAACAGAAAGTCGATTTGATTTTAGTGAACTAACCCTTTAATTAATCCCACATAGACTGAACACAGTAAAGTTTTCCAGATTTGTGATACATATTATATGTTAACTTCATATTATATAATATCACTTGTTGTAGTTATAACAGAAAATGCATAATATTTAACTGTTTTAAAGCTTGTATTTGCATTGTCAAATATATTAAATTATTAACATTTCACTAAATGTCTTGTAGTTTGCCATTGTGGTTTTGGTTAGTTGACCCAGAAATGACAATTATGTAATTAATATCTGTTCTATATCTGTACAATTCTGTTATCATGTCGTTTCAATCTCCTACGTCCTTCATTCATTTTCAATAACACAAATTAAGATATTTTAGATGAAATCCAGGAGCTCACTCATCCTCCAATAATGCAATAATCCCAATTTTTTTATATCCAGAAAAGGAACCAAAAACATTAGAAAAAAAAAATATATATTATATATATATATATATATATA